CAATCAAGCCGGTTATCAAACTGTAGTCATGCTGCTAAGTTAACCGTCCTGTGCACGATCCCATGATTTTACAGGGACTACGGAGAGTTGCATTCAATTTGTTTAGACTTGCGATTGGTTGGATAGGAAAACCAGGAATCTTTGATCGCTAACTCGTTACCAGTGGTCTTCGTTACCAGTGGTCTTCGTGCTCGGGTAGCACGGAAGCACGTAGGATGGTGGGTTGGGAGAAAGAGGTGAAACAGTGAAAAACAATCTCTTTTATCTTCCCATCGTCCCCTCCTCGTGGCCTCACCTCACATTTCTATGACATGCGCGTTATGAAGACCTCTGAAAAGAATTAAGTTTTAGACTGAAAATGAATAAAGAGGAAACATCGTCCTGCTGAGTTGTGTTTCATATTATCATCCGTGACGGTTCAGTCGCTCAAAACGGAACGAAGCACGACTGAGACGATCAACCTGGGCGATCGGCTAAAAACCGAAGCGTGACCGACAAAATCATTCGAGTATTTATTGTCTGAGCAGTGGCAAATAATAATCAAAATCGTCTCTCATTTTTTTTTATTAAATTGAGCTCTTGCTTCATCAGATTAGACAGTTGCTGTAAAGCAGATCACGTACCCCAAGGCCTCGAATGGAAGAGAGAAGGTTCCGACACATAGTCAAAAGAATAAGCATACAGTTAAAGTTCAAAACTGCAGCAGACGCTCGAGCAAAAGCCAATCCTTCCTGTTTAGATAAAACACAACACGTGTAATTAGTCATTTGCAAAGGGTTTTGGAGTATGGTCTACTCTACTAAGAACATTTCACTGGCTGTCGATGAATGATAACAAATCTGCTGCGGATTTCAAGGTGTCATTTACAGTGATCAACTAGGACTCACACTTGACAACGTCATCGCTGCTCTTGCAGCCATCTATGTCTGCAATGAATTTTAAGATGCTTTGACGTGCTTCCACTTCTCGTTTCACAGACGACTCTTTTCCTTATCTCACAGATCTTTTATTTTTGTAAAATTATTATTTATTATATTATAAGAAATTATAAAATCATTATTATTATATTTTTTTTCAAGGGGAGGGTCACACCTTTTCCAGAATTTTTAATGGGGATTTTTGTGATGTTATTTTCCATTTTTCTTTAACAGACTAAGTTTTTTCTTTTCAACTTGTTTCTTTTAATTCGGTAGTGAGGGGAGGGTCACACTTTTGTCAGTCACCTGCTACACTGTCCGCAAGTACGTGATGATAATTGACAACCTGGAAAATGAGGTTAATGATCGATGAAAATCTGTAATCTATAAATGATCGATATCTATAATATATTAAAATAAAAAATATCACATCTAAAAAAGGCTGATCAAGATCGATTGCCAAAAGCATCAGAGTATTAGAATATAAATAAAAGAATTTCAAATACCTTGACAATAACTCTGAGGTAGAAGTTTTTTGGGGAAGTCTGGAGAGATATGTAGGCACTCACGAATAAATATATGTTAATTCCCATCCATGCTATCTAAAAGGAGAAAAGCAAAAAAAGCGTGTCAAGGGTTTTAGGTTGTAATTTTTATTATTATCATAAAATCATAATCTTCGTTAGAGCAGCAATTTGAAAGTAACACAGTCACAGCACCATGGTTTCCATGCATTATACCGAAATAACACTTAAGAAAATTGATATAAATTGAGCCTTGGTAGTAAAACTTAAAGAAGCCCGCGTATAAGGGAAAAAAAGCGCGAGGAAAGTGAATTCCTTCTTTGTTTTTATTGCCCGTGCGTTCTTCTCGCGCACAACCGTAAAAAAATCCAGCTCCCTTACTTTGCAGGCACCTTTAGTTAATAATTGAGCGCGTGTGTTTCAAGAAGCTACCAATCAGTTCTTATTTAACCGTCGTACGTCTCTCTTGCTTTTCCCTTCGAGTTGCCCATCATCTCTTCGATAGCCTTCCTGCGCGAACTGTAGCCTTCAATTGTGTATTTTGATCGTCCGGGGAAGGACTGTTGTCGATAGTAGTGACCGACGATTCACAAGCTTAGCGGAAGTCATCACCAGAGTCCACTCTTTTTACGACTTCCGCTCTGGCTGTCAAAACGTTCTATCGACAGTGGTCCTTTTCCAGGACTCGAATATTGCGTGACGTCAGCTATCGAGATATCCACAGCCGGCAATGCCGCTTATTGCCCAGTTGCACTGCTAAAGGACATTGTTTTGAAGCTCATTTTTCTCGTTATTTCGGTTTTATTTCTATTTCTAATGCAATAAGGTTGACAAAAACACTTGAAGTATCTCTGAAAGTTAAAAATTAAATATAAATTTCTTTTATGTTTGCCACTGTTAGCAATATGTAAATGCAATCGAAACAAACCTCACCTGTTTTATTAAAACAGAAAAAAAAAACTTAAAAAATGCATTTTGTAGTGAAATATTGGTTAAATTAACCATCAATTGTCTCCGAAATAAATCACCGACGCTCAATATCAGACTTCATTAATATTGCACAATAGGGCAAATTAATATGTGTTTTGTTGCACAAACAATCACTCAGTTCACAAGTTGGTCGAGGTCGATGTGCAGAAAAAGTTCCCTTTATTTGCGTTTAGAAGAGAAATTGGACGGTAATAGTAAGATTTGGGTGACTGGGAAAAACCCAAATCGAGCGACTTCGGCTGTTGCAAAAAATATTACCCCTCCCGCTTGTTGTAATTATTAAAGTTAGTGTAAATGCAAATCAATTTTGTCTCACTGATATATTCAAAGATACTTTGACGTGCTTTGTGAAGTCTCTACCGCCACTACATGCGTAACTTTTAATCATTTTCTTTGACTAAAGACGTCGCTATGCAAGTGAGACTCAAGAACATTTCCGGGGAAAAATTTGAGTATAGGTGCAAAACAAGCCACAGTTCATTTGATACACAATGATTGTCAGAAACTGAAATACCACATGAAATCCTCTCAGATCAAACCCCTAAAGTTTATTACAGTACTAACAACAGCTCTTTAATTGAAACTCACGTAAAAATAGAGATATGTTAAGTATGAGATCGAAAAAAGAAAAACTCTTTAAAGCGTAATTCGAGGGCGAAACCGAAGCGGCCGACAACTGTTGTTCCACAACAAACTTCAGACAAACACAACAATCAAAATGTAATCTACTTACTGCAACAATGTACCGTCCAAGCTCGTTCCTAAGGGCGAATTTGGCCATTTTTGTATTTAAACTGTATTGTTTCCTTCAAGGAAAGAACACCGCTTCGTTAAGTTAAAACTTTTTCCTCTGTGTAAAACTGCTGCCCAGCCTTTGACCTGAAATTGAATAATCATCACGTTGTCACACAGTCACCTAGTCACGCAGGTAGGTTAAGTGCAAATCATTAGGTTTTATTAACGTGTTAATAACGGAATTTGCCTCCGTAAACAGCTTCTAAAGCTGACGTGTCGAGCTTTAGCCCCTCATCAGACTCTATCCGATACGACAGTCGCTCAATTAAGTCCTCTTTCAGATTTGGTAACCCGTAAATTGCTCGACAGATTTCATTTATTATTCATTTACTTTCTTCACCCTAGGATCGCTCTGACTCTAATACTAGACCACCCTCGTGCGTCATCCTCGTCTAAACGCGACATAACTGAATCATACCAGAGATTTAGTTCGTGATTCAAAGTGATGACTGGCATTGCCAAGCTATGATCGTACTATGGAAGATTACTAAACCATGCATGACCAATATAAAATTGACAGATCAATACAAAACAAAAATAAATTGTGACTCTAAGGGAAGATCATCTCAAAAACTTTAAACAAATAGAGCAGAGAAAGACGCGAAATCATGTTCAGGAAGCGTTAACTGAAGGCTCACCGTTCTGGTATCCTTGACAATTTAAAGTGTGCGGTGCTTAAAACAATTTGATGCGATGAAAGTGAAACACTTTGCTGTTTCTGGGCAAGAAATTATATTTCCTACCGCTACATCTCAGCTAACAGAGCTAATCTTAGCACCGTTAAAGCGATATTGCAAACTGAATGAAGATATCATATATATATGTGTGTGTGTGTGTGTTATACAAGATTTACCTATATTATATAACGATATATATCTTTTTTAATGCAGCCTCAGGGGCTTAATCGGTTGTTAACTAGTCGGTAAGCTGCCAGTCAGCCGTACACTCTGGAAGTACGTCATAGTCTCAGTTGATTATTTTTGTATGTGTGAAATACGTAAACATGAAGGCGGAGTTGAAAAGAGATCAAACTTCCTAAACTCAAAATTCTGCCTGACTTCTCAACGCATGGAACATGTTCGCTATGTGTTTGTTTACTTGTTTTACGTGTTTGGCTGCTAATGGTTCTTATGCAAACTTAATTCCCGCTAAACGAAACAAAAATCTTTTGTTATCAAACAAGCGGTGGTCATGAACTAACCGAGCACATTAACTGTCAAACCCCAATGACCCCATGATGCGTGCTTGAATTTTATCACGCTCTGTTTCTATACTTAGGAACTAAATAGATAATATTTGATATCAGTCTGGGCAAGGATTTTGTGATATGCCTCAAACACTGCGAAAATGAACCTCACTTGAAGAATTGGTACTCTGAACCAATAGTTACTTTATCAATTTTTTTTTCACTTTATCATGATCTGCTCTGGTGTTTTTCAACTCTGAATTTTTGGATTTCATCATGTTTGTTAACCAGCACATATATAAATTCAATGCAACAACTGCGACAAAGTCTGTAAACTTACCTCGTTTGTAAAATCGTACGCGTGTGAGATTCCTCAGTGAAATTAGTAAGCTGAAACGAGAAATACAGGGTTTGAACACAAGCCTCAGACTTACCGTTTGAAAGCGAAAGCACGCATTTTTTTTTGGTTAATTATTCTGCCACCCTCGCGAAAGAGTATACACTGGTAACTCATATCTCGCTTCAGTTAGGTTATGGCTTGCCTTGTAACTTGTTTGAGGCGATGAAAATGAGTCAGAAAGCACACCGTAAACAGCATTTGCTTCAGTGCTTTTTACAACTGATTCAGTAAGACGACTATGAGTCGAGATGTACAATGAAATCAATCGGCTCACCGATGATGTTTCCAGTTTGCCAAAACTTTACATAACCTATGAATATCTCGAATGAATAGAGACTACCTTTACCTTAACTTCGCGTCTTGATGTACGACTTCAATATATCCACTTTCTGATAACCTACAATCCCTTTGAGAAAGATATTCTCGGTTTACATGATCGGCGGAATTAAGAAGACAGATATTGTCGGAGAGTTGTTGCTAAGACATTTATGTAAGGCTCATTCAAGTGGATAGAAATTTGCGTGAGCAGCCCTCATCTCAATACAAATAACATCCATCTCATTATCATTATAATAAGAACAACATAACTTGCAATATATTTTAGGTACGAGTTTGATCCGAAACAGAGTTACGTCCTTTTATTAAATCTTCGCATTGATAGTACACGTATTGTTTGATTGTATGAAATATTCCAATGTGCACAAAAAAGACTAATAGGCCGAGTTCATCAACACACGAACAGGGGCGTATCTACAGACACGTCTTACATAAGATGTGACGTGCTCGTGCAAAGGAATCACGTGTATTTGCGATTTTAAATGTTGATTGTCTTCCGTTTCACTCAGTTCTTCTCTTTAAGTCTTCTGAGAAACTTGGCCATAATTTTGTGAAATTTTGTCTGCAACTAATTCAGTTAACTATATGAAGTTTGAAGGATAGTAAGGGGATATATGTTGTTCCGTAGAAGCCCGCGATGTAAACCTCACTCATTTATGCGCGGTACAAATTCTCCTCCTACGTAAGCAGCCAACATACCGCAACACCATTTACCATATGGGCAGTTTTACGTCTTAATTCCCAGCGACTTCTACTGGAAGTAAAAGGGTTTAAAAACGTTTTTCACCTCGCTCCAAGTGTTTTGTGGTCGAAGCACTCAGGTTTACACCGAGTAGAGAGTAACTGTCCTTGAAAACGTTTCAGTTGTTTATTATCACGTTTTTACAGCATTGAAGACAGACAATGACAACGCAATATTTTTGTCATACACACAACAAGATCTGCATGAGGTTGTCTCCACGTGCGTCAGACTTAGGCACTTCAAGATCCCAATATTTATAACAATCAAATGATTTCTTTTATGGTCACTCTGCCGATGAGTAGATCGTACTCCCTGTTGTAATAGACGTGACGACTAGCATGCAGAAGTGTTAATGGTACTGGAGAACGGTCAGGGAAATCTGACAAAATCATAAGAGTTTCCTGGGACTAGCCATTTCAAAAGCTCCCGGTCATTACTTATCGCCTGGGGAGGGAGTGGGGGTTAGTAGGTTTTTGAGTGGAATTACATTGTTTTCAGGGTGGGACGTAGGTGGGATCAGTTGTGTCTAACTGATTATATAGAGGGGATTGTAAGATTGGGGATGAATTCGGAGAGTTGTAATCATTTGGTCTTTTAGATTTAATCTTCTCATGGTAGACTGGTAATGAGTAAAAAGACTTCTAAAGAAGCTTCCTATGATGTTATGAGTAATAACGTCAATGTCACCTTTATTTCCTTTCGGAAACGTTTAAAATAATTTTTAGAATATTGCCCTTCAGAATTTTTTAAGAGCTGCCGGGGCAAGTGTCTTCAAATTTGATTTCATTGCTTATCTCAAGATGCGTGGCAGGGCACGGCCACGCATCTTGATCACGTGTCATAATCTGGTAATAATTAACATAACTGTTACTGGCCAGCAATGGAACTACACTACGTAGTTAAAAAAGAACTGGAGGTTATATATATATACCTGCGTCTTCCGGGATTTCGTAATGAATTTTTCAATTAAACCTATGTATGATGAGGTGGGAATTTTTTTTTTAGATGCGATTAAGAGATTATAATCTTTTGATGCGATCAAATTCCAAGACATTTGCCATGAAAGTTATAATTTCCTCAAAATAAATCTGATCATTTGAGTAAGAATATTATAATATGGAACAGATTTCTTTGTTCGGATTTCCTATGCTAAATATCTCCCAAAATAATAATGCATTGTCGTCTATGTTACGATGTAGACAATTTAACTAAAGTTAAATGGCGACGTATACGTTTGAAATTCACAGTGCCAGTTTTCATGAAGGACAGGATTTTTTTAAACTGACCGTAGTTTTCATTAGCGTTTCAGATTTAAAAAAGGAAGTGTAAAATCTGAATAATGTCGCCCTACCGGCATAGACCAGTGTATCGATTCCTAAATTATTACTGATCAAGCTGATAAGCAATGAGTCATCAAGAGGTTATAAACTCTTGGTTATACGTTGTCGAGGTGAGGTGCACGTGGTTTTTTAATAGTCTGGGGAGAAGCTTTTGACGTCATTTTTAAAACTACAATCGCTTTGTAACCAAAGTGCTTAGTTAACAACTGTAGAGTGCTGTGACGTCCATGTTCTTTTGGAGTGAAATTTTCTCCATTCTTCAGGAAACTGCTGGCTGAACAGCGCGAAGGACTGTGCCGACTCAACCCCAGTACTTTCTCGATAAGCAGCCATGTTTCTTCCTGAATTGAAACGAACAAAAGTATGAAGATAGTGCACTTTACTTTCCGTCGTTTCTTTAGTTGTTTCTCCTTTTTTATTACTTTTATAAAGAAAATTTTATTTAGAGGCCGTCAGAGAAAGTCTAGCCAGGGCGATAAGGATAGCATACCAACTTCAGTGACTGTGAGCCGAGATCAGGTGAGCTTTATTTTGTCTTGTTTGCATGATCTTGTAAGCTTTGTGTTAATCTTGTACAGCTGAATGCAGATGGAGTTAAATGGTCCGGCTTCGTTAATGGATATTGCTATTGACACAATTCAAATCATCAATATAGCCAAAGACATTCAGCATTGTAGGGGATTCGATTTCGTGACGTCGACGATGCAGATTCTCGTGCAAGTCTTCCTTGAATTGATCGAATTAAGCATAAATTTAATTGAGCCACGTATTTTGGAATAATTTGTGAAGATATATATAGATACTTAAGCTTATTTTTCATGGAAAAGTCCCAGACGAACAAAATTACATCAATCGTCGTCTGATGTTTCATGGTGTTTGTAAATAAATATCAGAAATTACTATTCAACCATTTTACTCCCCAGGTGTGACCAAAACTAAATTTCTCCTCACGACATCAATATAATTTTAAGAAAGAAGGTGATGAGAAGAAAGGAAAATATCAACCACGGCATATCTTCTAATAGAACACCAAATTTTAAGGGCTGAAATAATGAAAAATCTTGCATAAGCAGTGCTGAGAATTGGTACTTTGTTCTTGGAAGCCAAAG